GCCTCTAAAAGAGAATACGCGATCATCCAATTTCGTCGTCTAAACTGCTACCCCTATTCTTACTCTCTCTCTCTCTCTTTCTCTCTCCCTCTTAAATCCATGGAAAATTCATTCTCCCTGCACCACGTCCGCGTATAATCTTGCCGCGAAACGAACGTATTCAGCGCCGGTTTGCAGGCTTCCGCGGCTTCGGCTTTAAAACCGCGATGCGAGCGGGTAAAACGGGAACGAATGGAACGCGAGCGATTGTTGACGACGGCCATCAACGACCCCAATCAACCGATTAACGTTGCTGCGCCAATGTCAGCGCCGTTATCAGCGACGTGATCGTCGTGTGCCTGTGTGATCGCAGCCGATCCCCGCGTCGCTGATCATCGGGGTCTCTCTCTTCGTCGTCTGATCGTGGTGGTTTCACGTCCGTGAATATACCCTCGGGCCGGTAACAACCAGCCAGCCGGAGAGCAACATAATATATTCCCGATCCGGTGGCTCGATGTTCTAAAGGCGACTATCAAGTTGTGGTCGCCTAATTTACGATCCCGGCAAATGGACGCCGGCTTTAGTGGACGCGGCTTCTGCCCTCCTCACCCACACGCGCGCAACCACCCACCCCTGACTCACCCTTCTCTTTCGCTTCTCGTTTTCCCTATACCAGCCGACCGGCGGCTGGCTAGCTGGCTGGCTGGCTGGCTGGCTGGCTGGTCTGTCGGAGGATCCTCCCTTGGGACTTTGTTATCACGGCGGAAAGCAACGCGTGAACTTCACGATCTAGGGAGCAACGCGAACAATTAAGTGGCGCAAGGATAGCTCCAGGGGACGGCTATTTCGAATATTAAGCTCGGGGGTGCGGGCAGAGAGGGAGGGAGGCTAGCAGCTGCTCGCCGGATTACTTGGATAAATCTGGCCCCAAATTTGGCTCGGCTGAATGGCTCGGTGTGGAAGAGGGTGGTCTACGCTCGGCAACGGATGTTTGGGATAGCGGGGCGAGTTTTCGAGTGAACTTGGCCCGGTTGTGTAATTCGGTTACACGTCTGGTTTTATTCCGCCCGCGATATCCATTAGCGAGTAGGTTAATTGGATAGTTCGGGAGTCAATTGGAATATTAAATATCCCACCGCGAGTGTCGCGATCCACGCGCCAGCGTAAACAATCGATTAGCACGCGATCGGCTGTAGTCTGGCAGCCAATTGGAACGGGCGGTGGGCCTGGCGGGAAGGAATCTTCCAATCACCGGGATGGTTCAATTGATCGGATCTAATCTCGGATTCGGGCAAATCGACAGGTCCGACGCGTGCAACGGCAGGGACTGGCAACTGGTCGCCATTCGACAGCTCGAGCTCGCGGCAGGAGTGGGATCCACGTCCTTGATCCATCGATCCTGCTCACGGTGGCGTTCATCTATATTCGGCCTATCGAAGAGACCCACGAACCCGATAGCCTCGAGAGACGGAACGAGCGTTCTCGAGAGAAAGAGACGAGAAAGAGGGGTGAAAGGCAACGACGATGACGACGAAAAGGAAGAAGGAGGAGAGGAAGAAGAAGAATAAGAAGAAGAAGAAGAATTTTTTCGCCAGCGGACCGATCGGTCGATGGTCCAAAGTCGACTGTCAGGCCACGGCGGTCGGGTGCTGGCGGCGTCCCGACGCTTGCGCCGCAGCTTTCGCGACTCCGTCAGACGGCGCCCCGACGCTGGTACCGTCGGACGGACCGGTCGGTCGGGCCACCAGTCAGCCTCCAGTGAGCCAGCCAACCTCTCTCTCTCCCTCTCGCTCGCTCTCTCGCGTGCACGTAGAGGCGCGCGCGCGCGCGGCCGCGTCCTCGCACCTATACGATACCGTGCACACCCGCGCGTGCACTCGCACACGTACACACACGTACACGACCACACGTAGCCGGAGTGCGGAGAATTCACGGACACGCGGTACAGCGTCGTTGTGGAGAGTAACACGCGCGCACATGCACACCGTCGCTCTCGTTCTTTCTCGCTCCATCCCTCTCCCCGAACTTTCTTCGTCGCACGCCCGCCTCGATCCTGCGAGGAGAGTCTCTATCCAGCGAACGACACGAGAGGGAGTCCGAGTTCCTGGCTCGTCCCTCGCGGCTGCAGTGCGTTCCCAAACATCCACGAGACAACCTCGAGGTGTCCGCACGTACGCACGCACGCACGCATCAGCCGTTCAAGGACCACGAGGAGAGAAGATCCGGTCGATCCCGTGACGCTTCCTAGATCCAATCTGCCATCGACGGCACGCCGAGCCACGTCGATCGTCGCTTTCGCCGTTAAAATCGTCGTCGTCATCGCCGTCGTCGTCGTCGTGGTTGCTGGATGTTTTCAATGTCGCGATACTCGGTCGAGGGGAGAAAATAGTTCCTCGCCGTCGCTGCGGTTCCAGTCTTCGACAAGTGGTGTCCCGCGTCTACGATTCCGTGTCGTTCGTCCGTTCTGTGTGTACTCGAACATTACACCCTTGAACCCCGCAAGTCTCGGCCGACGAGCTCGAGTTTCCCGCGCGTGTTTCTCGTGTGATTCGACGATCGTTCGTCGCGACTCGAGAGGAGAGAGGAGTATAGTCGGCGACGAGAGCTCGGTGCGTGGTACAGTGGACCTCGTGACGGACCAAGCGTAAAACGACGACGTGGCAGAAACGTAAGTGGTGCAGAGATCGCTGCCTGCTCGATATTTTCGTCGGGGATTACGGCGCGGAGAAGCTCGCGAACGAGGCGCGAGCCCCGATGATAGACGACGGAAGAGGGAGGAGGCTGCTGTGAAGAGAGGAGCTTCTCATGGGAAATGCGTCGAAGGGGAACGCGTGGTGGATGTCAAGCCCGATGGAGAAGCTAGCAGCGTGACGAGCCGAGGGAGACCGTGATCTTCGCTCCTGATCGAGATTTCGCGAAATTACGGAGGGACGTGTGCTTGGTGGCTGGAAAGCCGAGAGTGCGGACGAACGAGGGGGAATAATCGAGCGAACTTTTGTCGTGTGTCGGGGAGGAACTTTGTTCGCTGGCTGTGATCAGCTGACGCGTCGAATCGCTGGCGCACGGTTCGTGCGAGAACTCCAGGCTAGCCTCGATTCCCGAGGACACGGTGTGCGCGAATGAATCCTGTTGATCCTGGTGCGTGAAACAGGCGAGGGTTAAAGGACGGGCCGGGGGAACGGTTCAGGGACGCGTATCGACGAATCTCGAGCGTGTAAATAGGTGTACAGATGGGTCGAGGACGTCGACTTTGATCGAAGAAACGTCCCAGACGCGTTCTCCTTTTTCCTTCCTCTCGCGCATCGCTCTCTCGTTCCTTCCGATCTTCCTCCAATCATCCGCGCGTGCTAGCACTATCGTAAATAATAACGTAAATAATAAAACCGGAGGAATCGTTGCACCGCGACCAACCACCGTTCCTACGAATCACGGAGCAACGGTGCAAACGTGCGTCGGGGCTGCGTAGGGAGAACGACGGATTCTAATTAGAGACCAGCAGTCTACGAGTGCAAATGACGCGTGTGTAGTAGAGAACCCTCACACGGATCAAGCTGGTCCGCGATTCGTCGCGTGTGTCTGTGCGTGCGTAGAGTAAATAGATATCTGTGTCTGTCGCGATTTTCGTTTTCTCGCCCGTCAGTGGCGCGTTCGATTCAGTTTCATTCGGTTCTAACAGGACGAGTAAGTACGAGCAATCGTAACAATTCGCTAAAGTCGCAAGTCGGAGCAGTACGGGTATATATCCAGCGCTTAGCCTTTTTAGCCGTGGCGCGATAATTAATTAGCTTAAGGGCGTCGTTCGGACGGGGGGGGGAGGGGAAAAATATAGAAAGCGGCGTGTAGCGGGGGAGGAAAAGCTGGCCGGTGGTGACGGCGTGTCGAATATCGGGCATCGTACAAGCTTCGGGCTACGCGATCGCCTCGGTGTCGGGTCCTCGTGGATAGCTCGCTGGAGAGAGATTCCGGTCGAGTCCTTTGGCGGATCGTCCAAGTGGATCGCGTCGCGAGAGGGCCGTTGTTGGCTCGATTCGAAGCCGAGAAAGGTGTCTGAACGGGTGGAGCTTTAATCTAAGAGGAAGGTAAAAAAGGGGGACCAATTTTTCACGCCCGTTCTCAATCTCTCTATCTCTGTTCCTTCCTTCCCATCTCGCTCGTCTTTCTCTTTCGTCCTATCTATCGCTCTTTCTCTCCCTCTGTCTCGCTGTCTAGCTGACCCCCGCTCTCTTCCCCTATCCGCCTTTATCTTCTTAATCCAGCCAGCCAGCGGACTATCCATAAATCTCTCTCTACGCTCTTTCCGTATTAACTCCGTCATCGTGAGACCGGCCGGAATACCGGGAATACGAAGAGGGAGTCGCAACTCACGCAAGCAATAAATCAAGGGCGAACCTAGCACTGCGACAGCGGCGAACGAGGAAGGTGGTAGTATCCGTAGGTAGCGGCCAGGCGAGAATCGCCGAAAAATCAGATTCCAGGAGACTTTGATCCAACCACGGAGATCCTTCGCGATCTTCGAGAAATCGCGCTACAGTCAAAGGACAACGCCAGGAGTTCGCGCGAATGTCATATAGATTTTAGCACAGAAAGGACTCTACGGTGTAACGAGTAGAACGGTAGCCAAACCCTTGTCCCTCTCGCACTCTCTCTCTCTCTCTCTCTTTCTCTCTCTTTCTCTCTCTCTCTCTCTCTCACTCTCTCTATCTCTCACTCTCCCAGTCTCTCTTCCTTACGGTGTATTATTCGCGAAAGCAAGGGAGATCCAGGAGAGAAGAAGCAAGTTATCAAAGGCAGCCAAGAGGCACCCGCCGGTTGCAAACACCGCACACGCCATTGTCCGTTTAATGACGATGACATCATCCTGAAACGGGCATGACGCCCCTGGCCTCGAGATGCGACGAGACCACTACCATCCTGCTGTTGCTGCTACTCGAGCTGGCACCCGGTGCACGCTGCTACTCGCGCGCGGCCACCACGTCCGCCTCGACTTTGTCGAGATAGCATCTACAGTCGACGGCGAGGGTGCGAGTGATGCCGCTCCTCGGCAGCATTATGACCATCGACGCCGCCGGTAGTCCGACTACGGTGTCCACCAGCGTCTTCGACGAGAACATGACGTGGTCTCGACCAACCGGTGGCTCTACGTCTTCCACTAACGAGGCCCACTCGATTGACCACGCGATCCTCACCGACGAACAGCAACTGCACCGGCTGATAGCCGCCGCGACCACGACTGCCGGCGATCGTGCAACCACCCGCAGTCCCGACGTCGACGACCAAGGACCAACCACCACCACCGAACAATACTCTGGCACCGGGTACAACGACACGGGTACTACTGGGACGAACGTTCGAACGGAAGAGGAGGAAATCGCGAGGACTGGTGATTGTGCTTGCGAGAGATACGGTGCCGGGGATATCGCGTCGGAAAGTGGTAGACTGCCCTTCCTCGTGACCGAGGAGTTGGACGAAGCGGAGGTCGCTGATACCAGCGAGGGAAGCACCGTCGACGGTTTCCAAGACACCACCACCGGTGTCGTCGGTGTCAGCACCACCGATCGGGTGGACGTGGAAGGACTGAGAGAGCTGGAACTGTTGTTCGGCTTGGGTGGCATAATGGAGGATCTCGGTGGATTCAACGACTCGTTCAACGACAGTCTCCTGGTCCCGTGCAACGACAGCCTGTCCAACGAAACCACCTACGTACTCGGGGAGAGCATGTATCCATCCGGGTACACGTTGCCGCACATCATTCTGGCATCCGTCCTGGCGACACTCTTGATGATCGTGATCGTCGTGGGGAACATGCTGGTGATCATCGCCATCTTCACCGAGAAGGCGTTGAAGAACATACAGAACTGGTTCATAGGCAGCCTAGCCGTGGCCGATTTCTTCCTAGGCCTGGTGATAATGCCCTTCTCGTTGGCCAACGAGATCATGGGATATTGGATCTTCGGCTACTGGTGGTGCGACATTTACTCCGCCATGGACGTGTGGCTGTGCACCGCCAGTATAATGAACTTGTGTCTGATAAGCTTGGACAGATTCTGGAGCATCACGCAGGCGGTGGAATACCTGAAGAAGAGGACTCCGGCTAGGGCAGCCGTGATGATCGCGCTCGTCTGGGTCCTGTCCGGTATCGTTTGCATCCCTCCGTTGCTCGGCTGGAAGCGACCCACGCCGGCTGAAGAGTACCCCAAGTGTAAGGTAGGAAACCACCCCTTTTTTCGCCGTTAAACCCCCTCTCCCCCGTGTTTCGTCCTCCTATCTCTCGTCTCTTCGGGCAGCAGAGCCGACTAGAGGTTTTTGCGCGGAATAAAATAACCCGAGACAGGATAACGCGGCACGGAGACACAGCTGCTCGAGTCACGGTTCGGGTAGTTAATGTTTAAAACACGATTTACTCGTGTTTTGCACTCGAGCAAACAGGGGCGGGTAATACAAGAGTTAATTATTTCCTCGAAACTGGTTGTTAGGTCGGGCGGCCGTTGCAGATGACAGATTACGGGCTCGTGTTTCGTCTTCAAGCAGCGGAATTAAATCGGCCGTAACGAGAAGAAAAGCCGCGGTGGAAAAAGACGGAGGAAACTCCGAACGATCCTTCGAAATAATTTCTGCCACGCCGTTTATCTCGCTCAACGGACACCGGTCGAGTCGGATCGTTCTTGACCGTACAATTCGGCCATTTCTCGCCGGTGAATACCGTTTCGGGGCTTAATTACTTCCAGCAGATGGACTCGTTGTTCAGAAACGACGGATCACTCGCGTATCTAGGCGCAATCGCGATTCAAATTCATCGGATAACCTCGAGTTTCTTCCGCGATCGACTAGGGTTAACAGGTTGTGCATCCCGAGTCCCTTGACACCGGCCCCTAGCTAGCTTTTGACAGCGAGTTTCTATCTTTATCGTTCACGCGAGCTGTCCGTTATGCTATTATCGATATACCTGTGCTTCGAACGACAGGTATAGTTGGACAAATTTCTAAAGCGATCAGGACTTTCGTCTCGATCGACGACTTAACCGAGACACTTTGACACCCCCGGAGTGACAGACGAAAGGCTTCAACGCTTTCGCTACTACGGCTGACTTATAGTCACTGACTACGGGACGCCACCTACACAGGGAAGATGATTAAAGTCACAGGCCAGCAAAATTGTGTCAAAAATTGAGACAAGTACTTAGCTCTCTTCGCAAAGAATTGCAAACCCCATTGCGATGGCTCGTATTTTCTTTTTCCTTTATTTTTCTTTCAAAATACTTGGTCTAGAATGCTAAAGACTGCGCGCGCGCGCAATGTTTCCACTTTTGGCACGGTACTTCGCGAAGAGACCCGCCACTGCGAGAGGGTTAAACTCGAATCTCGCGACGTTGTTCGTTTCGCGTATTGGTTCGCGAAAGGAGCAAGAAATACGCGAGCATACGAGCTAGGATTGAAAAGCGGAATCTACCTATCGCAGGTATTTTCTCGCTAGCTGTGTCCTGTGACGGTCACACGACCGGCTGGTCTCTTTTTACGCGTCGGTGAAACTCACCCTTATCCTCGACCCCTCGAAGGCAGCTCACGTTGGCCTCTGCAAAACGCCGCGCGAGATTGCAATCCTATGCCCGACACTTTTGCTCCGCGAGCTGACTTTCCACAAACTCCGTCGTGTTACCTTGTTTCCATTTTTCTCCCTTTTTCCATCCTCGCCCCCGTTTCCTTCCGCCACTTTTTCCCGCAACACTCGGCCACTGTGGACGCGTCGATTCGGTTCCCATTGCGAGATTCAATCGAGAGTTCCGAAGCCCGAAATACGAATTTTCGTCGGCGTTCCGAGGAACCTCAAGGTTTATCGTTCCCATTGATCACGCTGTTTGCCGCTAATTGGAAGGCTCCGCGTTCTCTCGACCGAGCGAGCGCGCGGTTTAATTAAGCCTAGCCAGCTCGTCACTGCAACGCGAACTTTTTAACGGGCAAATTTTCGGAATCGAGCCGCGCAACTCGAAACCAGCCACTCGTTATTAACGCGCGCAATCGAGCCTCGCGAGGCTACCTGTTGTTGCCCGCCGCAGTCATCGCGCTGCCGATTTCGTTCTCGCCGAGCTGATAACTCGGACAAGTTCCAGAGGCGAGAAAAAGAATTTTCCCGATTTTCCCGCGTGCGATTCTATCAACTGTACCCTCGAAAGATAGAGAGAGAGAGAGAGAGAGAGAGAGAGAGAGAACCGAGCTCTCTCGACTTTCTCCCGCAAAAATTTCCTTTAAATTTCCAAAAGGCACGCTAGCTTCTCCCTGCGAGCAAGCGTCGCTGCCGCGGCACTTGTCGCGGGGAACTTGTTGCGAGTTTGCTCGCAAGCGACAGGGAGGATAAGCGAGAAAGTCGCGATGTAATCGAAATTATGGTCGGCGGCGTTCAAACGGCCGGGGTGTCGTGACGGAGCGAGTGGTTAGGAGCACGCGAGTCACGAAGGAGCGGCGGGACGAATTCCAGGCAGGATGAACGAGCAAAGTCGGTATGACTGAGGAGTGTGTAATGGGAGGAGCGGGTAGATGAAATCGGGTGACAGGGAACAGGACGCGGCGCGGCGCGGAATCAAGAGGCTAAGCTTATCGGGCTAAGCCGCGCGTGTTGACTGAAGTCGGCATTAAGTTGGCGCGATACGGCCGAGTCTCTCTCGTGTAAAATCCAGCCCGCGCGCCATTAAGCGGCCGCACGGCGCCACGAATACCTGTAATACAAGAACAACGGCCCGTGTCGGGTCTTCTGGATTCTATTAGCGGCTCCCGCTGCGTGGAACACGGTGTAGCAGCCAGTCGGGTCTCGCGCTGGTCGAACAATGCAGTTCCGCCGTTTCTTGCGTCGAATTTACGAGATGGTCGCACGCATCGTCGACCTTCCTCCCTAATTTTCCCTCCATTTCGTCGAGGCCTCGAAATCTCGATAGGCTATTGCTCCCGTCGTCGAGGTTAAGGGCGAGAAAAGGGCCGGGCGTCTTAAAGGCGCTCCCGACTATGAATGCCTAACGAAATGGCAAAGGGCGAAACGAGATTAACCCGGGACGGAAGCGGAGGAACGGGAAACGCCATCTTTCGTCCGCTTCCGACGCCTTTTTCCCCGTTCGGCAAGGACTGGCAAGCTAATCGCGTTAAAAGATTGAAGCGCTGGCCCGTCTACCCCTCGGATTCTATCAGCGAGTATTTGTCCGCGTTCATTTGTCACCGGGCCCCGTGAAGACTCGATGCCGAGCGCCGCGACGCTAGCACCGTCTCCCAAGCGGTCGCGAGATTGTCAGCCTCGTAATAGCGGCTCTACCGCGAGGCCGCGGTGAATCACGCCGGAGAAAAATAGCGGAGGAGCCTTAAGGAAGATTCATTTCCGGCACGGCCCTGTTCTCCAGCCTCCACCCTCTGCAGTCCTGGAGACGCGAAATTAGCGTGCCCCGATTGTGCGAATTTCGTTTAGGAACGGATTACCGGTAACTGGCGCGCCACGGAATGGCCCGGATTTTCTTCTCGCGAGCCTAATAACTCGGGAACCTAGTGTTCGGTGGGGAACCGTGGTTCTTTACGGAGAATTCTAAAGGAAGATGACTGTCGCCATTCGCGTGGCGCCTTCCGAAGGAACTCGAACTCTAACCCCGGTTTAGCTCTGGTCCAGCGAACAGAGTCGTCACGGAGGACAGCCAGCCAGCTTGCCAAATAGCGAAACAAGAAGGAGACGCGGTATTATAGCAGCGGGAAAAAGCGAAGGTCGTGGTCTAATGGAATTACCAGACCGGTCTGTCTGTCTGCGGGTAGGAAGCAGGTTCGGCGAAAAAGTGGAACTCGCTGTTTACCAGGTCCGCGTCTAGGAGGATCCGCGACAAAGAGGTCGGTATAAAGCGTTTCACGAAGCTCGGGAAGGGAAGTTGAAGGGGTACTTAAAAGGGTGGCGGGCCTCTGGTCGACGGAATTTGTGCTCGATTAAAGTGTTTCGAACATAAAGGAGCGGCCGTTCCACCGCGACTCATCCGTGAAGTCCCTTAACTATCAACTTTTCAAGGAGCGGAAATAAAGTTGAAAGCTTCGCTCTAACTCGGCTCGGTTCCACCGTTCATTAGTCTGTAATTAACGGACTCTTTATCGGAGGCGGGTGCCGGGCCTTTGAAACATTTGCAAAATTTATAACAGTCCGGGCCCTGCTTCTTCCGCCGGTCAACCGAAACAAATGGGACGACGTGGAACGAGATACAATGGACGGAGAAGAGTCCTCTCTGATTAGACGTTTCCACGGTTTCGAAGGAAGGAAGCACGATTTTCCTCGCTGCATCGGGATCTCGAGAGCTCGTCTTTCCGTAATTAGTCCCTTACGAAACGTGCATTAAATACCAGTCACTTTCTCGAGAAACTCCGAGAAATCAAATGGCAAAGCACTCGAGGAAGCTCCGGCGAGCTCGTGGACTCCTTAAGAAATTAGAAACGATCCTCTTTTCGTTCCTCGCTTCTCCCCGCGTTTCGACGGTTTGCCAAATGATCTCGCGCGTACAAGCTGCTTCGAGGGTTGCACGAAAATTCGGCACGTAAAGTACCACGGAAGGACGAGGGAAACATTTTTCGTTCCGTTAATACCTTCGACTTTGCCTCGTCGTTAAAATACCGAGCTCCGAAGGCGCAAAAGTTAGCTGCCTGTCTGCGAGCAACCCGCCGTACACCGACGATATTGCCCCGATTACCGGATAACCCGGTTGCCGTTCGACAGGCGCCCAGCTTCCCTGTCTTTAAATCTTCGTTACCGAAAAGCGCGAAGCGATCGAGCGTACGCGTTTGTTACGCGAAAAATGTTCCTCCCGTCATCCTCTGCCTTCCCCTCGTTCGATTAACCTGTACCTTGGAAACACCCGATATATCCAACGGCCATTCATCATCCGGTGTCTCGCCTCGCCTCGCCTCTTCTCTCAATCCCATCGCGGAGGCACGGCCGCGTTTTCCGGTAACCAACGTGGAAACCTTGAAACGATTTCGTTTCGTTCTCGCGGGGTAATCGCGGCGCGGTGCGAATCGGGGGGTTTGTTAAGCAGCTCGGATAAATAGCGGGCCAGCCATTTGTTTAAGTTTCGCAGCGCCCTGCCGGGTACGGACGTGCTTCAATCTCCTAATGCGCTTAAGTTCACGCCTGCCGCACGGAAGTTGCATCTCTGGGGTGCATTATCCGTTACAACTTCTAATAAATTTCGACCGAGACTCGGT